CCATTCTGACAGGTGTGATGTGGTATCACATTGTAGTTTTTATTTGCACTTTTGTAGTAGCTAGTGAAGTTTAACATGTTTTCATATTCTGTTGACTGTATGTCTTCTTGGGAGAGCTGTTTGTTTAAGTCCTCTGCCCATTTCTTAATCGGATTGTTTGTTTGCTTGGTGTTGTCTGAGTTCTTTATGATTTTGGATATTAGCCCCTTGTTGGAGCTGTTGTTTTCAAATATCTTCTCCCATTCAGTTGGTTGCCTTTTTGTTTTGTTGTCAGTTTCTTTTGCTGCACAGAGCTTTTTAGTTTGATATAGTTCATGTCATTTATTTTTTCCTTTTCTTTCCTTTGCGGTCAAATTCATAAAATGTTCTCTACAACCAAGGTCCCTATGTTTAGGACCTATGTTTTCTTGTATGCAATTAATTGTTTGAGATTTTATATTTAGGTCCTTGATCCACTCTGTATTAATTTTTGTACTTGGGGACAATCTGTAATCTAGTTTCATTCTTTTGCATCTGGCTTCCCAACTTTCCCAGTGCCATTTATTAAAGAGGCTTTCTTTTCTCCTTATGGTGTTTTGGGCTCCTTTGTCAAAAATTATTTGCCCATATATATGTGAATATTTCTGGGCTCTCAATTGTGTTGCATTGGTCTGTGTGTTTGTTTTTCTGCTAATGTCATGCTGTTTGGATTATTATAGTTCTGCAGTATAATTTGAAGCCAGGTAGTGTGATACCTCTGGCTTCGTTCTTTTTCCCCCCCCCCTCAGGATTGCTCTGGGTATTAGGGGGTCTTCGTGGTTCCATACAAAGTTTATGTTTTTGGTTCTGTTTGTTTAAAAAAAATGACTTTTGATTTTGACGGGAATCACATTAAATCTATATATTCTTTTGGGTAATATGGCCATTTTAGCTATATTGATTCTTCCAATTCATGAATATGGAATATCTTTACATTTCATTGTGTGTTTTTCAATGTCTTTTAATCATGTTTTGTAGTTTTCAGTACACAGGTCCTTCACATCCTTTGTTCAGTTTATTCCAAGGTATTTTATTCTAATGGTTGAAGTTGCAAAAGGACTTTTTATTTTTCATTTATTTTTTTGAGGGTTTGTTGTTAGTATATAGGAAAGCAGTGGAATTTTTACATTGATTTTATATCCTGCAACTTTCAGTTTTACACCATTGAGTATGATAAAGACTGGAGGTTTGTCATATATGGTCTTTATTATGTTGCGGTACTTTCCTTCTATACCAGTTTTATTGAGTATTTCAATCATAACTGGGTTTTGTATCTTATCAAATGCTTTTTCTGCATCTATTGATAAGATCATATGACTTTTTATTCTTTATTTTGTTACTGTGGTGTGTTACCCTGAGTGATTGTATATATTGGCTGAGATATCCTTGTGCCATTAGAATGAACCCCACTTAATCAAAATGTATTATTGCTTTCCATTGCCTAGTATTTTGTTTAGGATAATTGCATCTGCATTTGTCAGAGATATTGGTATGTAGTTTTCTTTTTCTGTGTTATTCTTGCCTGGTTTTGGTATGAGGGTTAGGTTGGCCTTATAAAATTTGTTAGGAAGTATTGCCGCTTCTTCAATATTTTGGAATATTTTCAGAAGAATAGGCATCAAATATTTTAATATTTGGTAGAATTTACTAGTGAAGCCATCTGGTGCTGTATTTTTATTTTTTTGCATGGTTTTTGAATGCCATTTTATTTGTTGTGCCTATGTTCCCTCCCTTCTCTCTCTTTTTCTTCTTACAACAGTCTGTTCAGTATTTCTTGCAATTTCCTGTTGGGTGGCAGTACAGTCCTTTAGCTTTTGTGTGTGTTTGTGTGTGTGTGTGTCTGGGAAGCTTATTATTTCACCTTCAATTGTGAATGACAGCTTTGCTGGCTAGAGTAATCTTGTATTCATATCCTTGCTTTTCATGACTTTGAATGCTTCATGCCATTCACTTCTGGCTTATAGTGTTTCTGTTGAGAAATCAACTGATAGCTTTATGGGAGCTCACTTGTAGGTGACTGACTGTCTTTCTTTTGCTGCCCTTAAGATTCTGTCTTTGTTTTTAAATTTTGCCATTTTAATTGCGATGTATCTTGATGTGGGTCTCTTTGTCTTTATCTTTCTTGGGATTTTCTGAACTTGTATGACATTTTCCTTCTCTAGGTTAGGAAGTTTCCTTTCATTCTTTCTTCAAACAGTTTCTTTCTCCCTTGCTCACTCTGCTCTCCTTCTGGTACCCATATTTGTGTGTATTGTTATGCTTCATGTTGTCCCGAAGTTCCCTTACACTATCCTTGTTTTTTTTAAAAAAATTTATTTTGTTAAAGCGACATACTTGATTCGGTCCCAACCTGTTTTGTTGCTCAGATTGTTTTTCTTACATTGTCTTTTAAATCCCTGCTTCTCTCCTCTGCTTCTTACAGCCTATTTTAAATTTTTTTCAGTGTATTCTTGATTTCAGCTACGGGAAAGTTCATTTCTGACTGGTTCTTATTCATGAAAGCCATTGTGATCATCATTTGAGATCTGACTCTTCTCACCTGTGTTGGTGTAACTGAGGAAGGCAAAGGTTATCATTGTAACAGGAGTGTCTGGGTTGGATCATAAATACAATTAGACATTGTTGTAATGTGCAGTTTGACGAAGGAAACACTATAGTTTGTGTTATAGGGGTATGGTCTGCAAACTGCGGCTCGTGAGCCACATGTGGCTCTTTGGCCCCTTGAGTGTGGCTCTTCCACAAAATACTACGTGCAATTGAAACTTCGTGGCCCACCCGCAGAAGTCGGTTTTCGGCCTGGGAGAGTCTATTCTGAAGAAGTGCTGTTTACATTTGGCTCTGTTGACTAATAAGTTTGCTGACCTCTGTTATAGGGGGATACCAGGGCATTGAGAGGGAGTACTTAATAGGCTAGGAGGTAGCAATTAATAGAAGCTAAGTTGCAAACACAGAAAACATATAGGGCTTCTGAATTAAAGTCTGAAATTAATAGGAGTTTGTGTAGCTACCAGGATCAGACTTGTCAGGTAGGCTCTGTGGGGAGTGGAGAGCAATGGTTCAGTTCAGTTCAGACTCCATGCTGATCCAGATCTCTGGGAGGCACACGAACATCCTAGGATGGGGATGTTAATAATGAAAGAGTTTTATCATTTGGGTCAAAAGTGGCTCTACTATGGGATCCTGCTTCAAAAAAATGGCATTATAGGAAACAAGAGCCTCTACTACCAGCTGAGGAAACTGGCATTATAGCCTCTACAACACACAAGGAGATGCCACAGCAGGAACTACACCCAGGAGCAGCCGGCACCACCAAATGAGTGGCCAAAGGAGAGCACTGCTGGTATAGGCAGCTGGTGTGTGGACCTAGGCAAAGGCTTGATGCAAGAGGTGAAGCCACAGGGATCTAGAAGGGAGCAGAGATGACAGCGACAGCAGTAGGGCAGGCAACTGCCCCATGGCCACTGGAAGTGAGAGTTTCCTGGGGGATGCCCCCAATAGTGTATCAGGGGCTCAGGGGTCCAAACTGCTTCCTAGAGCAATACACAGAGGAAACACCAGCTAAGGAAGTGGAGAGATGAAGGCAAGGATGTAAGGACTCCATCCCATAAAAAGCAAGTGAGGGCTCTCCAACATCTAGACCAGGAAGCTAAGGAGTGACCCCTGGAAGTGGCAGCTTCCGCAGCCACTGTCCTCACAGAATGCTGCAGCCTCTGCAACCCCTCTAGCTCCTCCACCACCGCCCAGAAATGCCGAGAAGCTCCCAGCTCTTTCCCACTATCTGGGCAGTAATGTTGAGGCGAAAGACAAAGAGAAGGTAGCACAGCAAGCCCTGCTCTTGAAATATGCAAATGCATATGCTTCTGCAATAGTTGTAGGTTTTTGTGCAACTTGCTTCCTCATATGCTCCTCACTCTGCTTCCCTGGCTATGGTTTTCTCTGGACCTCAGATTCTTGAATATCTGTAAAACCCAGACACGGCTGATGCCGCTGAACTCACAGGGATCAGTGAGGTGGAGATGAGGTCAAGGACTGAGGGTGCTCTGTAAACTCTAAGGTGACTTGTGTGTAGTGGAAAGTTTCCATAACCCAGGTGGGGTGAGTGTGAGTCAACAAGGAAGAACATTGTCCAAAAGAGTTCTTAAAAGACCAACACCGGGTGGCTCAGCATAAATAGTCCGTGCCTGTGGGTCAAGGAAGCGCTCATTTTCCAGGAGACATTGAGCCCTCAAGGAAGCAATGGTGAGTGTCAGTGCCGGCCTCTCTTTTTGTTTTCTCTGTGTCCAGCGAATGTCCCCCTGCCCATTGGGGGTGCTCTAATGTACTGGTGTTGAGGAAGACATGGTCTATGTAGCTCTTCTGCTCTGGGAGGTGTGGGTGTTGGTGTGAGAGGGCAGCATAGTGGGGAAGAAGGACCATTCTTCTGCCCCTCACTCTGCTTCCTTTGCTCACTGGGAGATTACCCTTCTGGGCTGGGGGAGGGTGGGTGAGTGGGATATGACACCCACTCCGACCCCAGATGCCATTGTCAGGAAGCCTCAGGTGGGAAGGCAATTTCAACTTCTCCTTTGGCTCTCTCCATCCCTGATTTCTTCAGAAAAGAAGGGGTGGTGGAGGAGAAACAGCCCAGGCATTCCTAGGCCTGGTTCAAAATCCATCCTGGTCCCAACTGCCTCCTAGACATGGATAAACATGATTTTCTCTTAGCTTCATATTTTGTTTTAAAAATACACCCATTGGATAAGTTTACTGATATTCAGTTAATTTTTAGAGGCATCATTTTTCAATAATACTTTAGTCTGACATTGATGCATAAAGGGAAGAGTATGTTGGTTTAAGAGGATGTGGCTCTGCGCAATACCTCTACAGGCCCAGCAAAGAGGCCTCATTCCAGTCTGCAACCCTGTGAGGGGGCTGCTGCCCAGGCCCCTTTCTGCTACAATGAGCTGTGGTGCCTTCTGTGCCATCTTGTGATGTTGGGCAGAATGCCTGTTGCTTTTCATTCTTCCTCAGATGTGGGCACAGGGCCCTTGAATTGTGGCAGCTGCACACCAGGGGGCAATGCCCTGGCTCTGGCTGGAGCTTTTGGTGCTCATGGCCGAGACTCTGCCCCAGCAAGTGCCACGCTGCTGGCCTGTGAGCTTGCCTGGTGTTTAGAGACTCCCATGATGCCCGAGGAAGTGGTAAAGTCAGAATGAGAAATAACTGGTGCCAACAGGGTCCTCCGCAGCCCAGAACCATCAGCAGGTGGAGAAGAAAGCACTTCTGTGGCCAGGAAGGCCCTCCACTGCCTCCCCCTCAGGCTGCCTGGCGATCCCATCTCCTTTGCTCTGTCCTCAGGCTTGTTCCCAGCCTCTGAAACTCCCGTGTGCACTTTCCTGGCTCCTAACTTTAAGGTTTGTCTAAAGAGGAAAGAAGCCCACCATTGGGAGTGACCAGGTCCTGCACCCACCCTGACCTCACTTAGCTGCAGAGTCCCTCTCACATGTCACTGGACACCCTATTGAACATCTGTTTTTTCTCCACCTAAAACCATCCTTTCCTGACGGAGCTCACCTCACATGCCCTCCTCCACGAGGCCCCTCTCCCAAGTCGTCCCAGTTGGAGGGGCAGCACTCTAGGCGTCCCAGGGTCTCTCAGCTATTCTGAGAACTTTTTCTGGGTTCCATCTGGAACTTTCTTCATGGAGACAGCATCTAGTCCAGAAATGGCAGACCACCTGGCAAACATGTAGCCATGTGCCCATCTTGTGTTAGGACACATGTCATTGAGCATTCTGGCTCCTTTACAGAGAAGCACTGAAACGGCTAGTGCTGGTCCATCCAAGGCTGTAAGTGACAGGAAATGGGTTTGCCCGGCCACCTTGCTGATACAGACAGGGAGACGGAAGTTCAAAGAGGGGAACTGTCCTGCCCAAAGGCACTTCATGAGTCCTTCCTGATGTGACAGGTGGCCTCAGTGAGGAGTTCACATCCTAGCCGTGCCGATGGCAGTGAAAGAGAAGTCACTAGAATGGACAAAACAGGGCATCTGAGAAGAGGTAGATGTTGCTGATAACCCATGTTAGTGTTCAGCTGCGTAACTCATGCCCTCCCAGGCCAGACTGTATGGCCGCCTTGTCCTAAATTGCTTTCGGAGTCCTGCTGCTCCTGATCCCATAGAAGGGGCAGGGTGTTAGGAAAGTGCCTCTCTGACTTCCAGGAGGTGGGCTAAGCACTAACCCATGTTCTGGAATCAAGAGCACGTCCTTTCTCTTTCTGTCCACCCTGAAGGTCATGCTTCTTCTCCTCTCTGTGCTGGTCCTGCTCACACAGCCTCCAAGGTCATGGGGAGCAGAAGTGACGACCCTTCCTCAGAAACCTTTGATTGATGACCTCACCCTGGTCAAGTGTAGCCCTGTGGAGAAAGGCCTGCCTGGTCGTGATGGACGAGATGGGAAAGACGGCCCCCGGGGCGAGAAGGGGGATCCAGGTAGAGCTGGGACCATGGGCTTGTCCTGGTGGGCATGGGTGGGCACTGGAATTGTAACCAACTCAGCAACTCTGGATGTTCTGCCGTGAAAGCCCTGGAAATGGAAGCCCACCTCCTTGGGAAGAAGTCCCCTAGACATTCAATCCACCTAAAGCACCTCGTTACCAGTTGGCAAATGACAGGCTGCCCTGAGCCCGGAGGTATTATTCCCCTCCCCTAGCTGTCAGGACTCTCCCCCTAGGATCTTCTGATTCTTCTCACCCCAAGAATGAGAAAATCGTGGGGAAATGACTGGTCTTTGGGGCCCCGTAGAACCAAGCTGCCGCACTTATAGTTGTTCATGTGGTGGAATGATTTCTGTGCAGTGTGTGAAATATCTAACTAAATTCTACTGCATGAGAGGTGGGCAAAGATGAGGCCCTGTGGCCCCACACTCAGGCCTGATCTAAAGGATTTACCTAAATGCACTACAGAGGGGAGGAAAGGGAGCTCATATTTTATAACTGGACATTTGTAACTTTTGACTTTCACCCGTTTTGCCCACCACCCAGCTCCCATCTTATGTAACCACCAATAATCTGATCTCCGCATTTATGAGTTCAGGTTCTTTGTTTTGTTTCTTAGAATCCAGATGTAAGTGAGATCATACTGTATCTGTCTTAATTTGTATAACTGATGGCACTTAGGATAATTCCTTCAAGATCCATTCATGTTGATGGCAAATGGTAGGATTTTTTTATGGCTGAATAATATTCCAGTGTGTGTGTGACATTTTTATCCATTCATCCATTATGAACACTATTAGGTTGTTTCCATCTCTTGGCTACTGTAAGAAATGTTGCAATGAACATGAGGGCACAGACATCTTTTCAAATTAGTGTTTTATTTCCTTTGGATAAAACCCAGAAGTGGTATTACTGGAACATAATTTTTACAAATGATCTTTTTAATATCTTAAAGAAAATCCATACTGGACTCCGTAAGGCTGCACCTACTTACAGTCGCACCAGCAGTGCATAGGGGTTCTTGTTCTTCACATCCTCACCAACACTTGTGATCTTTTGTGTTTTTCATAGTTGCCATTCTAGGAGGGGTGAGATGATATCTTGTGGGTTTGATTTGCATTTCCCTGATGACTCATGTCAGGGATCATTTCTGATATAAAGTTTGGTCCTAGGCCATGCAGGAGGATGCACATACCCATCCCAGGAAGGAGGCTGCCCTTCGGGTGGCACTGGGTTCACGCAGGGAAGGCTG